TCGTTTGCATATTTTAATGATTAAAAAGTAACAGTTGCCTTTTATCTCTTCCTTGGCACATTCCTTGAATACTGATAATCTGTAGGGCGGTGAGATTATTGCTGCATCCCAGGGGTAATTTTTCTAGCCTAGGGACCTAACCTCCCCTCGCCAGGACGCTGGTTGCTGGAGGGATCGACCATCACCTCCTCCTGGAACTCAGGCCACCGCTGGGGAGGGAGACCGGTTGTCTCCTCTCCCTGTGAGATGCACTGCCGCTGGGGATCTGGGCCGGCTGCGCAGCATCCCTGTAGGGCCGGTAGAGATACCTCGGTCCCATCTCTACCTTCCATTTGGGGGTCCTCCCAGGACCAGTCTATGAGGTCCGCTACCTCGGATACCTCTGGCTGCTGTTGGAGAGGGAAGCCGGTTGCCTCCACTCCCCAGGACGCTGGTTGCTGTAAGGTGGAGGGATCGACCATCACCTCCTCATGGAACTCAGGCCGCCGCTGGTGAGGGAGACAAGTTGTCTCTTCTCCCTGCAAAGTATACTGCCGCTGGGGAGTAGGACCGACTGTCCCTACTCCTGGTATCTCCAGCTGCTGCTGTAGGGTGAGGTCGGTTGCCTCCACTCCCCAGGACGCTGGTTGCTGTGAGGTAGAGGGATCGAGCACCTCCTCCTCCTGGAACTCAGGCCGCCACTGGGGAGAGAGACCGGTTGTCTCCTCTCCCTGTGAGATGCACTGCCGCTGGGGAGTAGGACCGACTCTCCCTCTCCCAAGAATACACAATGCCAACTCACTTGCCCGCTCCGCTTTGCTCTACAGGTACTTTTCCACAATTTTCCTCGTGCTCTGTACATATTTCTCAGGAAGGTTAGGTCCAAAGAAAGCCAGCATCCCCTTAAACTCTCTGCCAAACTGTGCCTCTGTGTAGCTGGGTGCCATGCTTGCTCTGACGAAAGTTAGTTCCTGTTGTAGATAGGGACGCTGTACGAATATGAGTTTTGCCCTTAATTTGTAACTCCACACGTTACCGGTGTCTCTGAGGTGCTTCTCCTCGCACTAGGATGCCATCCCGCCGCTGACACCAAATATGACGGAACGCTGGCACTCCAACCGAGTACCTCCGCCAATCGATGCTCCTAGTGCTTGCCGAGGACTCCAAGCACTCCAACCGACACCATCAGCACTGCAGACCCCACTTCCAGCGATGCAGCTGTGCCGGGGTCTCGCCGTCCTTCACCCACCCTGGACCCAAGGCCAGGATCCAGCTTCCAGTGGGCAGACCTCTCTTCCTTTAGAGAGCGTAGCAGGAACAAGAACAGCTCTTACAAGAGCTTACCCTGGGGAGTATAGTGTGATTATAGCAATCCCCAGAGTGTAGTTATCCCATCCCCCAAGCATGAGCCAAGGCTTCAAGAAAGGGTCAAGCAGGTCTGTTTAATGCACACAAAAGGACTTTCTTTTATACACGTTTTCAGGCCAGAGGCACACCCCCTGGACCTGGTGGTAAACTGTGACAAAAGGGACACAAACCAATGGGAACACTAATTAACAAAATAACACTCCCACATACACAGTAAAATCCCTCCCCTCTATCATGGAGATTATTGGCTTAAGGCACTGCAGTAAACTCAATTATCTCCAGGTACAGAAAAAAATCTCCATTTTACACTAACAGTTAAAATACATAAAAATACATAAAAATACAGAATTCCTATTATATTACACAGAACCCCCACCTTTAACCTATCACCAGATAGTTCGAATCTGAGCGCCCAATATAGGTGAACAGCGCTCAGATCCCACAAACAGAGTAAATTTGCCATGGGGTTAAAGTTTTGCAAGGGCTGATGAGAGATTGAGGAGGGACAAAGCAGCCAGTTTAAACTGGTCTGCCAGTGTCCCTGTGACAACTCCCTGCTGGAGAACAATGGGACAGGAAAAGGGGGGGAGGGGAAGAGGCACATTCTCCCATGGAATCAAAGGTGCAGAATTGTGCCAGTTCCAATTAAAGGGCCAGAACAGTCTTTAAAACACCAATAAGTCCAAATAGTGTTTTTAACTGGCAAAGTCTCCCAGGGACCATAGTCACATGGCAAGAGGCTGGCAATTAGTCCTCTCCAGGCACAAGTGGCGAAGGGCACTTTGTCACAGTAGGCATCCGGTATCTTTTGTGGTCCTGCAGCGGTTGGTGCGTGCGTTACCTACAGTGTGTTTTTCTGGTTTCAAGGTAGTGCTGTTCACCGTGGCTTTTGTGTGGGAGTTTTTCGGTGCGTTTCGAGTTGGAGAACTGGTGAGTAGTAGCCGGGTGGTTGCTGGGGGATTCAGCTTGCGGATATCGAGCTGTCTTGGGATAGGGTATAGATTTGTTTGCGACGAATGGACGGATGTGTTCGGAAAGTGGTGCCAGGTCACGCTGTTTTCCTTGCCAGGGTTGGAATGGTGCCCTGTGTCACGCGCTGCTGTGTTTCTGAGGGTTCTTTCTGGGGTTGCGGGCTCATTTTAGGTTCATGAAGACAGGTCTTCTCTGTCGCACTTCCAGTTTATTTGGGTTTTTTGATTGGGTTTATGGCAGTTGGGGTTGCACCCCTTGGAGTTTGGGATCCACTCCTTCCGGATTGGAGCGGCAACAGAGGCATTTCGCCTGGGGCTTGGTGACAATCCAGTTAAGCGGATAGGATGGCGTGAATCGATACGGTTGCGGTCTTACATGCGTCCTCATCGTCTGGTTTAAAAGGGTTGGGGATGTTTGTGTGGGAGTTTTGTCTTGCATTGGTTACTTTTCTTGTTCTTGTTTCAGGTTGGGTGGCATGGTTAATCGGCCACTCATTCATCTATTGGGCGCACTGGAGAGCTGCAGTTCAGAATCATGGAATGCAGCTGGGTTTCTCCCATGCCTTGGTTTCTCTGTGTTGGATGGGTTTTCGGGGTTGCAGTTGGTTAGGTGTGAGCAAGAAAATTCTCAGGCGGTTGTTGGTGGGTCACCCCTCAGACATCATATTAATACATGCCGGGGGGAATGATTTGGGGCGTGGATTGGATACAGGAACCAGTTCCTGAAGTGGTTGTGGTGTGGTCCGAGATGATTCCTCAGCAGCATTGGAGACATGCTAGGGACCTTTCCGCAGTCACTTAGTGTAGGGGGAAGCTTAATAAGATGATGTCGGTTATCGGGCGGACGGGTTGCATCTCTCAGATGTTGGGTATAATCTCCTTAATCTTGGGTTTCAGGAGGGTCTCAGTAAGGCCCTATTTTTGCTGGGTGGGGGCGCTCAGGTGGCTTGAGGTGGTCAAAACCTGAGCTGTGGAGGGGTAGAGTGAGCTGTGCAGGGTTAGGTTGAGTGGAAAATACTCACGGGGGTTACAGTGGTTTGGTAGGTTCAAGCTCGTCGTTGGCTCCGAATCTGGGGGTGTAGGGTTGTCAGTTTGTTATATATTTGTAATCATGCCACTTGGTTGGTGTGTTATGTGTTATGTAATTATTATTATTGTTACATTATGGTTTATATGTATATATGGGAGTCATTGCCAGGGTTAATTACATTTGGTGGGTAAAGGACATTTAAGTAATGTGTGTTAGGTGTTGGCAATGACCTTATGTTTCTAAGATGTGTTAATAAAGCTGAGGACAAATATTTTCCAATATTAAATTGCACTCTGCGTTTTCATGGGAGTGGGTATTAAGGTTAAGCTGGATATGCCGAAGAAGGTAACTAGGCGCATGTCATGTAGCCCATGGAGCAGCATAGTAAGTGGAATGGACCCTGACAGAGCTAGGAGGCAGGCATAGGAAGTAATTAGTAAGTGGCTATGGGGTTACTGGGGTGGGTATATATAGCAGCCATCTTAGGTAGTGGCCATTTTAATCAGCCTACTCTTACCTGTAGTTGTCCCTCCCTTGATACTATTGGCAGGGTTTCTCGCTTGGTCACAGCGGCAAGATTAGAGACTAGCAGGGTAGAGTGAGTTAATAACATGCAGGGTTAGGTTGAGTGGAAAATACTCCTGGGGGTTAAAGTGGTTTGGTAGGTTCAAACTCGTTGGTGGCTCTGAACCTGGGGGTTTAGGGGTGTCCCGGTATTCCCCTACAGTTTGATAATGGTCATGCCACTTGGTTAGTGTGTTATGTAATTATTATTATTGTTTATATGTATATATGTGGGTCGTTGCCAGTGTTAACTACATTTGGTGGGTGAAGGGCATTTAAGTAATGTGTGTTAGGTGTTGGCAATGACCTTTGTTTCTAAGATGTGTTACTAAAGCTGTGGACAAATATTTTCCAACATTAAATTGTTGTCTGCGTTTTAATAGGAGTGGGCATTAAGATTAAGCTGGATATGCAGAAGAAGGCGACTATGTGCATGTCATGAGTGTCAAAACCATTTCTCTTAATCTCACATAAAACATATAAAAAGCATATTTGGTGTTCCCATATCTCCCTTATTTCCTATGACTAATACCCTTTATAAATAAAACAAATGTGAATCATCATGACTGCCTTGTATCTGTGTAATGCCCAGTGTTTTATAATATTGGTGGCACTATCTATATATGATGGAGTCACAAGCTTTGGGATCTCTCGGGCCAGCTGCTATGTTTTACTCTCATTAATAACAGAGATCACAACAAATAAGCTGGGGAAAAAGTAATATCACAGGTTAGACTTTATCTGGTCTAGACCTTTTTTCAGGGAAAGACACTGATTGGGTGCTTGGGGCCCTTTCCTAGTTATTCATTGTCCTGGAGGATCCCTTTTTATTATTTATATCGGAATGATTTCTATGTTGACCCTGGTTGTATGGGTGAATGGTGAAGTATCCACTGGATTTTTTATCCTAGGTATTTGTAACAATGTAACTGAAATG